TACAGATGCCCACACATATTGGCAAAAAACACTGCCATGGTTTCAAAATGCTTCCAGACGCTGCCACTCTGTGCAACTGCCGTTCTGCACAATAAATCAAGGCAGCTGTGCACTGGTGGTTCGTGCCTGAAGGAACAAAAAAGCTGGGCAGCCTTCCTTGACATATAAGCCAAGCCTAGCTTAAAGATACCTACCCTAGTAAAGTCTAGATATACCTACCCAATACATGTGCTTACAAAGGGGCAGTTGAGAATAGGAGAGATAACTTGAGGCCCTCTCTCTCTCTCTCTCTCAGCAATGATCTCTCTGTGCTTCTCTATTTTGATCTCTCTTTCTTCAGCTTTTTCTCATGTAAATTCTTGCAGTAAATGACTGCCTTGAGCTGGATTTTGCTGACATTGCTTTTGCTTAAATTTTCAGCACCTCCTGATGTGTGCCAGAGTTGTCTAAATGTTGGCTAAATGGCCCCTTTCTTTCATTAGCGAAGCTGCTTAAGCTAAATTTCAGGCTATTCAGTGTGCACAGAAAAACCCCGGCAACTAACCAACAGCTACACAATTACATGGTTCCCATAAATGCTCGTTCTGCAAGCGTGCCTGGAGAGCTGAGTGATTATGATGCTACCTTTCACACCTCATTTCAAACTTCATATCGCTTTGTTCATTTATTTTCTTCCTCTCCACATTTGTCCTCTTTTCTTCCCTCTAACGCATTGCTAGAGAACGCATGGTAACATCATCACTCGTTGAGGTTTTTTAAAAAGGTCCTTTAGCCAACATATACACAACTTTGGCACACATCAAGAAGTGCTGAAAATTTAAGAAATAGCAATGTCAGCAAAATCCAGCTCAAGGCAATCATCAACTGCTTGAAGAAATGCCTTGCTATAGGACTTCCAGGTAAACGTTTCGTAAAGAGGGATTAGATACAGTGAATGCAAGACTCCTCTGAGAATGCAAAATAGTTCGAAAAAACAAAGTCGCGCATTTTTGCTTTGACAAAGTGATCAAATCAAGTAGCTTTGAATGCGGGATCGAATCCTGGCTGCGGCAGCTGCATTTCCGATGGAGGTGAAAATGCTGTAGGCCCGTGTGCTCAGATTTGGGTGCACGTTAAAGAGCCCCAGGTGGTCGAAATTTCCGGAGCCCTCCACTACAGCGTCTCTCATAATCATATGGTGGTTTTGGGAGGTTAAACACCACATATCAGTCAAGTAGCTTTGAATGCCTGCCAGTGCTCTACTTATCAAGCACTTCCATGCTCGCTATGGCTCTCGTGAATGGGTTCGGTACCTGCAAGAAACCTAGCCTATTGTTTCGAGTTGCATGCAGCACATTGCCTACTAAGCTCATGACGTCACTGCTGAAGCGCTTGCTGAACCAAACTTAAGTGTTTGCTGTGTGTTCACTGCACGTACTTATTCCTCACCGTACACGGGTGTGGCAATTGTGAGCTGTCGTTTTTGAGAGCAACAGGTCAATGCGGCACCGCTTGGCCGCACCACTTTTCAATAACGCCACCCCGCTCAGGCGGCCTCCCATCAAAGCACAGAGAAAAATAGTCTTGAATAAGCATGAAAAGATGTGAGGAATGAAGGGGGTGTCGCTCGAGTAACAACTGCAGGGCACAGTCATAATCACAGGAGCACATTCTAGCCCAGCAGCTATCAATGGACGGCTCTCATACACTTCAAAGTGTTGTGCTCTTATCGCGAAGTCACTGCAGGTAAAATGTTGTACCTGGCATGGCCACATTTTCTTATACAGTCGACTCTCGGTAATTCGAAGTCGCTTAATTGGAAGTTTCGGCTAATTAGAAATGAGCAAGTGGTCCCATCAGTTTTGCATGCAATCGTATAGAAAAAAATGCTCGATAATTCGAAGTTAAAAACCCATAATATTGGTTAATTAGAAGTTTTTTCAATCGACAGTCTCGTTGCGATCGTAATTTTACAGTAAAATGGGGAACTTTTCATATGCCAAAACATCTGCCGGACCGCGCTGGTGTCTTCGCCACCACTACTGTCCGCAGCGCCACAGATCTTGAAGCGGCAATCTTTTTAACGCTGGCGAATCGCATCGACCGCATCGACTGACTCTTTAGTTGACTTTTGTCGAGACTCCAGTGTGTCACCGCGTCACCCGCGCGCTGGGTTGATTCCACACGTGTTTCTGCGCTTCTGATTTTGAGTGTTGTGTTGGTGACGTACATTTGATAATGGCAACTCGTGGCCCTTACCGAACGCTAGACCTAGCGACGAAAGTCGAAGTCTTGAAGGAAGTTGACCAGGGAGGCACCGCCAAACAAGACATTGCAAGAAAGTACGGCATTAAGCCTAACACGCTGTCGACTTTCATAAAGAATGAGCGCTCAATATTGGATGCGTTTGAAAGGGAAAAATTCAAGACATCGCGGAAGCGGATGCGCACCGGCGCCTACCTCGAGTTGGAGGAAGCACTGCTGATTTGTTCAGAGAGGCACGAAACAACAAACTTCCTCTCAGTGGTGAAGTCGTCACGGCAAAAGCGTCATCGCTTGCTGAAATGTTGGGCATCAACGACTTCGCTGCTTCGGATGGGTGGCTTACGCGTTTCAAACATCGCCACGACTTGATTTTTAAAAGCGTGTGTGGGGAGAAGGCGTCAGTCGATGAGGAAACGTGCCTGACATGGAAAGCGGGCAAGCTGGATCACCAAACTCGACCGCAAGTTCGGGCAATCAAGCCGTAAGGTGTTGTTCCTTGTGGACCAATGTAGTGCCCACATGAACGTACCTGCCTTGAGTGCCATCCGTCTTGTGTACCTGCCTGCAAACACGACGTCCGTGTTGCAGCCCAAGGACCAGGGCATAATAAAAAATGTGAAGGTATTGTATAGGCCGCATCTCGTCGAGCGCATGCTTTTGTGCATGGACAACTCGTCGCAATACGAGGTGAGTTTGCTTAGTGCCATCAATATGCTAGCGCGAGCTTGGACCCGCGTGAAAGAAAAGAAGAAACCATCGCCAATTGTTTCCGGGCCTGTGGTTTCATGGAAAACTCGGGGGATGCTTCTCCTTGTGCGCCAGTGGAAGTGTAAACAAATGAGCTCGACGACGGTAGCTTTCGCGCCGCTCTCGGTGACGTCCGTTTTGACGAGTATGTCGCTGTGGACAGCAACGTCGAAACATGCGGTCCACTAACGGACAGCGAAATCGTGCAGATGGTTCGGCCCCATGACTGCATTCCTGAAAATGACGATGATGACGACGACATCGGAATGAGCCACCACCGAGGGCTGCTGATGTAGCTGCGGGTCTTGCTCTTGCGCAGCGGTTTTTTGTTGGAGAACACAACGCCGAAGAAGCACTTCGACACGTGTATTCCTTACAAAACTTGCTAGCCGCAGCCAGATTCGGCAAGCAGAAGAAGATGACAGACTATTTTTCCTCAAAACTGTCACGCTTTTAAACTAATAAAAGTGCCGTTTTTAATGCTTTTTGCTTAATTCGAAGTTCGTTTAATTCGAAGTTTTTTGCGGTTCCCGTGAACTTCGTATTAACGGGAGTCGACTGTACTAGCGCTTTATACAGAGAAAGTAAGATCGGATCTAAATGAGTTAGCAGCCAGCCTCACTTCATATAACATTACAGTTTGTTGTTATGGTATTCATTGCTGATCCCTTGCAGTTCAAATGTGCCTTCTTTAGCTTATGTACAGCAACCCATTTCTTCAGCCTAAGTGCACAAGCATCAAATGCCGAGTCTATAAGTACCGTGTAACACAGCACAGTAGAAAAATGAATGAAAACATGTGCCTGTGCTTGATGAGAACTCCTGTGCCCCAATTTTACTAAGCTGCTTTGAGAGCCTGGCAGCACTTTCACATCCTTTCAGCACCGCTACCGAAAGCCCTTTTTTTCTAAATGCTGCCATCAAGGCATAAAAAAACAGTTTTACCGCAAGGGCTAAGCAATTAATGAGATAACAACAACTTGTTACAGTATGTGAATTAAGGCTGGCAGCTAACTTTTTGCATCGAATATTGCATATCTGAAAATTGCTGGAGATATGCTCATTCAGCAGTCTCTTTGCATTAAAGGCACAATACATAGAAGCGTTAGGAGCTGTTTGCATTGATGCCTGCCAAGATAGCACACGTGTCGGCAATCACGACTTCAGAAAGTTCACAACTGCCGCTTGAGCGATCACCGCCTTAACAAAACCGCAACTATAACTGTGTAGATGAAACTGAAAATATGATGTCTCAGTCCCGTTTTCCTGCATGGAGCACCTAGCGGCTAAATGCAGGTGCTGCAGCACAGGGTGGCTCTGATAAAAGAGTTTGGCATAACAGGGCTGGTTCGCCGCAGGATGGTGCAGGTAAACAAGTTTGGTACACAATATCCCATATGGAGCAGCTGTTCCACAGCAGAATATGTATTTTGGCAAATAATACTTTAGATTACCATGAAGAACGTAAGCCTAGAAGGCGTGTTTATTTTGTTTTTATGCAAAATGTTCAGCGTAATAGTGCCACACACACTCCTTTCCATGTTTTATGTTGCTGGCCTCTGGCACGTGTAGATAACGCCTAGCACGATCTGCACTAGAACGTCTGAAAGCATTCCAGATTGTTTCAAGATCATCTGTTGAGCACACAAACACAAACAGCAGAGTTTATGCTCAAAAACACAGCGACCAGTGATAATGCTCAAATGTTCACTGCTGGCTGTATAAATGTCAAAACCCCTTTTCACAGATCAGATTATTAACAGCCGACACCCTGTTTGCCGCTACCAGTGTGCAGCATGAGTATCGCTTGCGGCCACAAGTACAGCCAAATAAAGTCTCATCTTAGACACACAAACTGCATCCTTCATTAACAACATGACCCCATGACAATAGTTTGTTTTGAGAAATCCACTGCAACCTGCACAAAGTAGACATCTTTACCATATTTTGCAGTGGCTGCCCCCATGTCAAGACACCACCGTAATTGTAGGAGTAAATCATTCACGCACCTTTTCAATGGCAGGAATATATTGCTTGGGAACATTGGTGCCAATAGTGTCGTCTTGGAAAACCACTTCTGTGTTCTTCTCAGGAGGAAGTGGCTGCACCAAGAAACAACACATGCACAGAAATCACTCCTGTGGTCGAGGGGACAGCGTCTTAGTGCATCTCAAGTGCAAAAGCATCATTAAATCAAGATGAATGAGAAAAAATAGAAAGTGAGTCGCACAAATGCAATTCATATCCATGCTGCCCAGCACCCCATAAGATTTATCTAGGCTAGCGTCAACATAAAATTTTAGATTTTAAGTGAATTTGAAGCAAATAGTCATTTGGTCAAATAATTTCCAACTGAATTCAAATAGTATACACCACGTATTATAAATAAAAATGAGCATATTTGTCATGAGCCACTAACCTGCAGAATAGTTCTTTGAAAACTGAAACAAGGCATGTGCAAATGTCATTCTTTCTGGTTTAAAGGGAAGTCACATGCAAGCAACCTTGAATAGTAGCAGGATTTGGCTTTCGGTAGAATGCAAATGATAACCTGTAAAACATGTGACATTATAAAATTTACTCTGCTTGAAAAATATAAGCCAGCATTGCAAGCTTTTAAATATGAATCAATGTGAGAGTAATTTGTTCATTTAACAATAAAGTGCGGCTCCGCGGCGAAGCAAATTTTCCTTGAATAGGTATCTTCAAGGTACAGCATCCCTTCACTGCAGTGAAACCACCTATACAAGCAATTACATGCAGTTAATGCATCAAGTCTATTTGTTCATTTCTGATACTTTGAAACTTAAAGTAATTCAAATTCCTTTTGAAGCACATTTGAATACTTTATAATTCATTCAAATACACTGCTGATGAATTTGCACAAGCCTGGTATATACAGCTCTCATGGTAGAAAAACCAACAACTTTAGGCTAAGTAACACATATATATTTTAGTTTTCAGTATTTTGTTGCTGTCATGTTGGCTAATCAAATACTTATGCCATGGCCAACATTATTTTCAGCGGCTAGATTTGCAGACATGACGCAATTGTCTTGAGCAGTTGCACATGCCAGGAGTATGAAGTTGGGCATGTTGGTAATGCATAACTAATCATGTAGCACGTAAAAATTGAGACACGGGAAAACGGAAGGGTCTCACATTCCTTATGCGCTATGTGATTAGTTAAGCACATGCCAGTCGCACTGAACGTTCTCATGTTGCGTTTCAAGCCAATGACTACAGCCAATGCATGATCAGCTTTTGGTTTTAACGATACATTTCAAAAGGATTAATGCTTATAACAATTCTTGGGGTTTAGAGTCCCAAAACTACGATAAGATTATGAGAGACACCGTAGTAGATGGCTCTAGAAATTTCAACCACCATAAATTCTTTCACATGCACCTAAATCAAACCACAAGCGTCTCACAGATTTTCGCCCTTGTCTAAAATGAGGCCGTAGTAGATGGGATTCAATCCAACAACCTGCAGGTCAAGGATTAACACTTGGGGTAATTCTCTCACACTAGAAACCCTAATAGCTTGCTCGCAAATTAAAGCTTTACTGCTTTCAAAGGAAGACATAACTAAAGCCAGCGTATCTTCATCCTACGCACAATGTGAGCATAGCAAAAACACAGACGAATACACGTACATCCTCCCCCCCCCCGCCCGAAAAAAATTTAGTGAACGGGCCATGCCTGATGAACAGACTGCTCTTTGAGTATTGGTACAGTTTGTGATGAGTGTAGAGAATGTGGTGAGCCCATCACCTCGAGGTATCCAATGACTCGTCCATACTGTCCGGCACCTCCGTGCTGCTTCTTGTGCAGGTAATCAAACTCGCAAGGGGCTGTGAGCGACTCCCGAAAGGCGACTTTTGGCTTGCCCAGTATCACCGGGCAGTTGTATTCACGAGCCATGCGCTGCAGCACACAAGACACAACCAGTACCACAATATGCTCCCGCCAGCATGCTTCACATACTTGAAAAAAAACTAAGCAGTTTGCACACAGTCAGACCTCAGTGCAAAAAACCTCAGCTCAAAGAAACACACAATGTGCCCCTGCACCCGTCCCCTCTATGATGAAGAGCAGATTGACGTTTCTTGCACGTGGATGTGCTGCCAACAGGTAACAAAAAGAAAGCACCTTAAGGAAATGGCTCTTTGCGTGTAGAAAGTTTACTGTGCCCCTCAACTGATGAAATTGCCTGCCTCACACACCATGGTGCTGCAGTAGATTTTACTTTTTGACAAGAGAAGCCAACTAACTGATCATAATGATTGCAGTAATTCTTTTGGAGATGGTTGGGCATCTTGCTTACTCAACACAATATTAATCATTTTCGTGCTGAGAACATACCGATTGACATTTCAAACAAAATATTAACCCGATTTAAATTCAGTTGCTCTTGTTCGCAATAGATATTGTGACAAAGATGGGCATTTCTTTCCTTGCTAGGTGTGCTCACAGTACAAAAAGTATGAAGTCGGCAAGAAATGGTCATAACTTGCATAACTTTTTAGGTAATTTTTCCCCCAACACTTGCTTAGAATTCATTGTTTTATGTTTAAAACATGTGCCCAAACTAAATTTTATCAAAATGAGAAATGGTCACAAAGCCACCTTTGTTTTTGTCAGATTTGTACACAAAAAAGAAAATAAGTAACTGATTTCTATTAAAATTACTTTCTTTAATATGTAACTGATTACAGTGGTCAGTTACAGCCCCCAAAAAGTAAACGAGCAATTACAGAAAGGTAATAGATTACTTTCACATTACTTTTCTTCAAAATTTTAATGCCGCAACACAATCACACACTCAAACTACAACGAACTACTAAGGCTTGCATGGCAGAGGGCAAGCTAGAGGATTACAAGACGGCTCAAAGGCTTACTGTGGCTTTTGTAATATGGTGTTACACATTAAAGTTCTTGTCACTTATTCTTCCATGTTCCTTCGTTAAGTGGTAAGCTGTTACACTGAACACTTTCTCATCTCAATGCATGCTTTGGAGGGAGGGGCAGTAATATTGCCACGTTCCTTTCTTCAAGTTTTGTTATTGCCCCGTTACACTATGTTCAGTGCAAACCGTGCATAGTATGTTAGAGAATCTTCAAGGCTGTAGTAGATCGTTTTCTTAAGGTTACGCCCACTTTGTGAACCTTTCAGATTATCCTAGAACCTACGTCGCCGCTAGCGATAACAGTAGAATGTTCGATAGCAAGTGTAAAATGCCGACACGCTTCGCCGCTTGTCAGTTGATCGATGGCTGATGCCCAGCTTGCCGCCATCAGTGCCACCTTGTAGCTGTAATCCGACTTTTTTTTTACGTGGTAACAAGTTCGGGCCAAATAAACAGTTTATTATTCGACCTGCAGTCTGCTGCCTTCATTCACGCCATGACCCCGTGACAATATAACGTAGCAACACCTAGTGCACAAACTCGTAATTGTGCAGTGCTTCGAAGTTACTTAGTGTCAATGTTTATATAGATATAGTAACTTCGCCGTAGCTGGAGCTTAGGTGTGGTGTTGCAGGTAAAACGAGAAAAATGCTGAAAAGTTGGGCTCGTGCCCCTACAGAGCGGCGGCATACTTAAAAAAAAAACTACCATATTTAGTCGCATAATAGGTACACTTTTTCCTTTTTTCCAGAAAATTCGGCGCCAAGTTCAAAGTGCGTCTATAATGCGGGGTAAAATTTCCGAAATTTTTATTTCTGACTATCGCATGTAGTGGAAAACAGCATGTGGCTAAGTTTGTTGAATGTACCCTAACTGTCGTCTAAATGTTCCCTCTGTCATGGGACGCCGTTTACATAGAACAGACTGGTAGGTGCGTAATGACCACTTGCGCAAGCACTGTTCCAATGTAAAAAACAAGATTTCTTCAGGTGGTTTCCTGGCTATGCATTGTAAGACGTGTGCATGCACTCCACTGTTTGATCAGTGTGTCATCTAGGGCCACAGTCGTAACCAGTTGACACAAGAAATTATTGAAGCGATCTCTATCACAAAATGTGCGAAGTTCTGTGCGAGTACGCCATCTGCAGCCTTATCTGAAAAAGAGTTGTTTTGTGGGGCGAGTGTTGTGAAGTGCTGATATGGGAATGTTAATTAGATAGCAGCTTAAAGCTAGATTTCTTTGATAACGTGTACTGCGCCATACGTTTGCGATTATGTCATCTGTGCGGAGTCACATGCAGCAAGGTGAGCTATATAATGTGCTGAGGGTCATGCAATAAACAAAAGTTGGAAGCTAGCCCTCCTGTTTTCTTGCTTCTTGACCGTAGCATCTTTTCTTCACGCTCAAACTGAGCTGCACTAAAGCAATACAATTTTATCATGCACCAACTTACTCAGTCAGCAGTACTTGTCAATAAAAGTATATTTTTCTGATGCACTTTTCTTTTCGGACTTTAGATAATTTAGACTTATTTACATTCCTCATAGAGTCCAAATTAGCATTCGTCGATTGTGTTTGTAATGCATTAGGTACTACTCTGGTTCGTACCTCGACACACCTTAAACAAAATGTGCAACAAAAAGCTTCTGGTGTCATTATTGCAAAAAAAAAAAAAAAAATTGAAGATTTGTACAAGGCTCATTACACTTCTGTTAATTAGCAGGGCACCCTCACTGGCACTTGCCTCATATCAGGCTACCACCTACAGTCGAATCTCATTAATTCGAACACGCTTAATTCGAACTTCTGGTAAATTCCAACTCAAGCTGAGGTCCCCTCAAAGCTATGTGTATTCCAATGGGCGAAAACGCCCTGTGTTTCGAATGCGCAAGCACTTTCGAAGATTAATTCGAAGATACAGAGCTCCGAAAATGCTTTCAGCACCACGCTTGATCCCGCAGCGGCACATCCAACACCTCCTGTGCGTGAAGAAAAAAAAAAGGCTGCGGTGAAATGTTTGCTTTCTCTTAAATGCCGATCTGCGACGCGCCTGTGCCACTCTTCTCCCTTTTCCGTCCCTGCCACATAAAGACCCTTCTTCTTTCAATGCCAGGTGCAAAGAGAGAGAGCGGGAGAAAAAATGAAAGCTGTTGCAGAGTGTTGGGTCTCTCACGTGCCGGTGCCACGCTTCCTCCTTTCCCGTCCCTGCCACATAGACCCTTCTCCTTTCAACAACGCACGCGAACTGAGAAAAGAAAAGAAAAAAAAAAGCTGTAGTGGAGTGTTGGTTCTCTCTCGAATGCCGATCTGCTTCTCTCCACTAGGAAACACTCCTCCTTTCTCGTCCCGTGCTGGTCACGCTGTGGCTACATAGGCGGAGATGCAGTCGTTGTCGTCCTCTTTAGAGAGCGTTGGCGCTGGACATTGCTGGGTGCAAGTTCTCTTGCCACAAGAATGCTGAAGCCGAAGTACAAATTCTTTGCAAGCTGCACGCGAAATTGGCTCGCTGCAAAGCAAACGTGGGCAGACGTGCGCCACAGATTACTTCAATTAATGACGGATGTCCTGTGATTTGCAAATAAATTTAAGTTTGCTGAAACTTCCCCCTCATGTGTTAGCTCAATGCACATGCGCCACTGCAAGGTGAGCCCTCCGTTTATTTAGCATTTATTAATTTGAACTTCTTTTGATTAAAACACACTTTCAGCCCCTTAAAGTTCGAATTATTGAGATTCGACTGTATATAAATACAACTGCATGCTTTGTGAGCTTCAGTCACATGCCGTGTTTCCCTGCACACTAACCTGGCCATAGATGTCCAAATGAAGTTCTCCCATGCCCGAGGCGATCATCTGCATTCAAGGCACATCAGACATTCAAGCATTAAAGGCACATCAGACATAAAAATCAATTCAAAGGAAGGAGCATGATTCTCAAAATATGATGCTCTTGTTTATTCCACGATGTGACCATGCGGAATTTGTAGGACACACTTTTTCGTGCTAGTTTCGCAGTAGAAAACTAGAAGTAAAAAATAAGGTGTGTCTGAGAGTATGTGCACAACACACGAATACAGTAAAACATTTGATGGTACATTTTTTCAGTCACATGACGATCATCAGTTATAGTGATAGAATATGTGAGTTCACGTAGTATTTCGAATAGTGCGAACAGCAAAATTTTTGGTGCAAAGCGAATTCGGATATTGAAGTGCGAGTGAAAACTGAATAGAATATTTTTCTAATATTTCTAGAACATTATTTGAATACTTCGAAGTGAAATCACAGAAAAATAAATTGGAGAAGATTCCGATGAATTTTCTTATGAAGTAGCAACATGAAACTGCACCTTTTTGTTAGGTTGATGAAGCACTCCGATTCCAACATAGAGATGATAGATGTGGCAGGGTAGAACTCAATTAATGCTGCTATGAACATGAAATTCGGGCAGGAAGTCCGAAAAATTGTATGCCGAAAACTTTTAGCATTCAAAATTTCAAATGTTATTGTATGTTGATGTCTACAAAGTGAATTTGGAACTCATAACTCCAAGAGAGCATAAACTTGTCTGCCACATCAGGAAGGCTTCCACTTATGTTGAAAGAGGAGAAGAGGCTGAGGGAATGGCATCTTTGCCTTTCACGCGCAAAGTGTTGTCGGCAACCCTTTGGCTGCACGAAATCATGTAAATAAATACCCTTTGGCCTCTGCATCGCCTCATTCTTGATAGGACAACTACGAAACAGCTCCCTGCCAGCACTTCATTAACCTAGTAAAAATAAAGGCTTTTATGTAGCTATATCTCAAAGAATATATTTAGGAATCCTCTCCCCAACTTTTTTTTTTGTAATTTCACTTTGAACTATTAGAGAAATATTCGAAAAATATTAGATTCAATTTGCACTCACACTTCCGCATTCGAATTCACTTCACACCTAAAATATTGCTATTCCCACAGCTGTAGCCAAACATTTGCAACCATAACGGGTTCTACAGTTTAGCTTTGTTGCAAAACAAGCATGTGATCAGGTGAAGCATAACAAAAATAAGAAGGGGCCACTTTTCATATCATGTTGACTGTGTTAATATCATTGGGGAGTTCGAATGATAAAATTCTAGTGTGAATCGATTCTCAATTCCAACTGAGCGCTCACCACCTAGCGACTGCACCTGGAAACGGTACTAAAAGGGCCAGCCTTGAAAGAAGATAGGTTACCAGATTGCGTGCGTTGAGATGCGGCCCTATGCCGCACGCGCAAGCATGAAAATGAAGAAAGCGATGTCCAAGTGGCACAAGTCTTAATTCTACCCATTCTTAAATTAAGCTGCTGCAATACTTCCCTCTCCAAAGTTTTTATTTCACATATGTGTGTATACACACGCACAAACACATGTGCGAATACACAAACGATGGGTGTACTTCACCGAAAAAATTTCTCGCCACGCCCCTGTCACTGACGTATATTTCTTCCGTGTGAACTGCAGTAGTAAAGCCTGAAATATATTTATTATGGACAAACGTATGGTGTTTATGCCTGCCTTTGCTCTGCATGACTGTGCTGTATTCTCATTAAACGCGGCCCATTGAAAGTTCACGTTTGTGAGTTTGCAATAAAATTTAAGAGATTCCAAGAAGCGATTTTTTCAGCTTCTGGAGCGTTTTACTCCAGGAAGCATCACTTGGTTCCTTTCTGACCCAGTGCAGCACAACCGACTGCTGATTTTTGGAAGCTTATTAAGGTTAGCTGAAAATTAATTTACTTTGATTAGTTATGAGTTCTTTATATTGTTATTAAAACACTTTCACCAGGGACGTGTGGCTGACATTATTTAGGGGTGTGGTGGGGTTGAACCACCCTGCGCGCAAGTTTGCATGTGCGTAGCGTGTGTGTATGTATGCTCATGCGTTTGTAGTATGAGTGTAGATATCTGCTTTGAATATCAAGCACTGCCAACATGAACAAGCAAGTGTTTGCAAGCACACGATCTTATTTATCAGAAACCTAATAACATGGATCTGCGAAAGAAAAGAAAGACACACTCCTATTACAATCTAAATTAGATTTGCCTTAATAAATGTACACTGACCCAGGCATAGCTCCGCTCTGTAATCAAGTGAACGGCATGGGTATTCAGCTTTTGACGAGACAACGGAACTCATTGGGATGCATATGGTAGCACGAGTCACAGCACAGTTACCTCAAAAACTGCTAAGGTGTTGCCTGTAAGCAGTGCAGCAATGCAGCGCATGTGGCGACGTAAAGCGGTGCTTCTGTGTGCGGTGCAGAGAGCGCATGCGCCCGCACAAGAAAGTTATCTTCGAGAGGAAGGGTGATAATAAAAGTCAGTTGTTGTTTGGGACGCGAGTTGTTCACTTGCGCAGCTCTGCCGAGCGACGCGTCCCAACATTGGTGACCCGGACTCGGAATACAGACACAGCGACCGGAGTGTCGCACCAGACGCAATATGGATTCAGCGTCCACGACCGACGCCCCTCCGACAGTCTCCTCAGTCGACGGTAAGCTGCCCCCTTTTTGGACTGCGGACCCCGCACTTTGGTTCATACAAGTGGAATCTCAGTTCGCAGCCAGACGAATTACCGCAGACCTTACGAAATACCACTACGTAGTCAGCAGTCTGCCGCCCGCCATAGCCAGTGAAATCAGGGATCTGTTGCTCGCACCACCTGTCGAAAACGCATATGCAACGCTGAAAGAAACCCTTATTCGCCGAGTTACGCACTCCGAACCACAACAACTGCAGCAATTGCTTCGCGGCACGGAACTCGGCGACCGTACTCCTAGTCAGCTTTTGCGGCACATGCAACAGTTGCTTGGCGGAACATCAAACACGATAGATGGAGTATTGCTCCGAGAACTTTTTTTGCAAAAGTTACCTGCAGGCGTCCGCATGGTCATCGCGGACTCAGAGCACAAGGATTTAATTGCAGCCGCCGAACTTGCTGACAAACTGGTAGCAATGACACCGCCCACACCCATGACTGCCATGCAAGCGCAACAGCCTCTAAACGAACTTCAAAAGATGCGTGAGGAGATTGCTCGACTTGCCGAAACAGTATCAGCTTTGCACGCTAGCAGGAGGGCGCAAACGATAACCGAGCCTAACATGCCGCTATCACAAGAGCAGCACGAGCATATCTGCTGGTATCATCGGAGGTTCGGAAGTAGTGCGCGTAAATGTGTCCCACCGTGCGCGCACTCGGGGAAACAGCCGCGGCAGGCACTGAGGACGACCAGTGCTACTACGTTGCCTTTAAGTCGTCCCTCAGTATTTTTTATTACCGACCGCAACAACGGAGTACGTTTTTTAGTGGACACAGGCGCCGAGGTGAGCGTTATACCGGCGTCACAAGCTGAAAGAAAGAAACCTAGTACATCGCCCTTGCAAGCTGTCAATAACACGGTGATAACAACATATGGCCATCGTTCACTGTCGCTGAACTTCGGTTTCGGCAGAACGTTTAGCTGGGTGTTCATAGCTGCTGATGTCAAATTCGCCATACTAGGTGCAGACTTTCTCCAGTTCTTCGGTCTGTTGGTCGACGTCCGCAACAAACGGCTTCAAGCTCCCGTTTCTCGGGGAGCGGTACAAGGCACGCCGTGTTGGCACCCCCCTATCAGCCCGGCCTTGCTAAGTCCGGCTTGAGAAGCGTACTTCACCGCAATACTACAAGAGTTCCCAGAGCTGACACGACAGCCACAGGCATTTCCAGAAGTAAAGCACGGCGTCCTGCATCACATCGAAACCACAGGCCCACCGGTCTATGCGCGACCACGGCGCCTGTCACCCGAGAAGCTGCGGTTGGCTCGACAGGCGTTTGCCCACATGATGGAACTCAGGATAGTACGTCCTTTATCCAGCCCATATGCGTCACCTCTTCACATGGTCCCAAAATCAACAGACGGTGATTGGCGCCCTTGCGGGGACTATCGAGCGGTGAACCGGGTAACCGTGCCAGACCGTTACCCAGTCCCGCACATTCATGACATGATCTCCTTCCTGCATGGTGCTACCATTTTCTCTAAAATAGATCTAGTGCGAGCATATCATCAGATACCCGTAGCACCAGAGGATATCCCCAAGACCGCAATAACAACGCCGTTCGGAATGTTCGAGTTCTTACGCATGCCTTTCGGCTTACGCAACGCCGGCCAAACTTTTCAACGGTTTATGGATGGCGTTGTCCGTGGCCTCAACTTTTGCAAGGTATACCTCGATGATCTTCTGATTGCTAGCAGCACTCCTGAAGAGCACGAGCGGCAGTCTGCGCTACGTACTTCAGCGACTGACAGAGAACGGCATCGTTATCAATACGGCAAAGTGCGTGTTTGGGGTACCAACACTATCATTTTTGGGCCACAGCATTTCAAGTGCCGGAGTACAGCCCCAGAAGGACAAGGTGGAAGCAGTACGGCAGTTTCCACAGCCGAAAAACCTCCGCCAGCTTCGAGAGTTCCTGGGACTCGTGAATTTCTACCGTAGGTTTATCCCGAAATGTGCCAACATCCTTCACCCTCTCCACAGCCTACTTGCGGCATCTGGATCTAAGACAACTGCCATTCAGTGGAACGACCAATCCACACAAGCATTCCGGATGATAAAGGAAGCTCTCGCAAATGCTACCATGCTCACGTACCCGCAGCTGGGTGTTCCTCAGTGCGTCATGGTGGACGCCTCCGATGCAGCGATTGGAGCCGTGTTGCAGCAGAGGGTGAGCGGAGTGTGGCGACCAATTTCCTTCTTCTCCAGAAAACTGAGCCCGTCCGAACGAAGGTACAGCACCTTCGGTAGGGAACTCCTGGCCATATACGCGGCTATCCGGCATTTCCGACATTAAGTGAAAGGACAAGAATTTTTTGTGCTCACGGATCACAAGCCACTCACCTACGCATTGCGCGCGAACTCCGATTCTGGTGCTCAGCGTGGCACGGGAGCTCCGCCAAATGTCGTACATCGCAGAATTCACGACAGATATACGCCATGTTAGTGGCACGGATAATGCCGCTGCCGATGCTCTTTCGCGCGGTCTAGTGAATGCCATCAGCCTGCCGAGCGGCGTAGACTTCACCACACTTACGACGGCTCAACGCAGTGATGGAGAATTGAAGCGTCTACTGACGTCTTCAACCAGCGCGTTGAAGCTGCAATGATTGGCAGAACCTACAAGATCCATATGCTGCGACATGTCTACAGGCAAGGCCCGACCGTTCATCCCCTCGAACCTCCGTCGCAGCATTTTTGACTTGCTGCACAGCTTGGCGCATCCCGGGATTCGAGCCACGCAACGGCTATGCACAGCGAGGTTCGTGTGGCCAGGAATAAACCGGGACGTCCGATACTGGACACGAGAGTGCATCGCATGCCACCGCTCCAAAGTTCAGCGACATACTGTGACCCCCTTGGGATCCTTCCCTCTGCCGGACTGTCGATTTGCCCATGTGCATGTTGACATTGTGGGACCACTGCCGTTGTGCCAGGGGCAAAGCTACTTGCTATCCTGCATCGATCGCTTCACGCGATGGCTGGAAGCCGTGCCCGTTCCAGATATGACTGCTGATACCGTCGCCCGCGCATTTATCTTCCACTGGGTGGCCCGCCTCGGAGTGCCGGCAACCGTGACTACGGATTGCGGAACACAGTTTGAGTCCGCCCTGTTCGCAAGCGTCACCCGGCTCTTGGGTACTCACCGCATCAGAACAACTGCCTACCATCCGATTAGCAACGGTATAGTGGAAAGGTTCCATCGCCATCTGAAGACGAGCCTGACGGCTACTGCGAGTCACAGTTGGGTAGAGGCACTGTCGTTTGTTCTGTTGGGCGTTAGGACGGCTCTGAAAGCAGATATTGGATGCTGCTCCGCTAAACTGGTGTACGGAACAACGCTTCGCCTCCCAGGGGAGTTTTTCACTACCAGTAAGGACGAAAACGTGTACGCGAACGCGGACTACGCTGTGCGACTGCGAGACATCATGAGCAAGCTACGCGCTGTTCCTCCGCGGCCGCCCGCAGCCCGGCCAGTCCACGTGGACCGGGAACTCTCCTCCTGCTCTCACGTGTTTGTGAGGCACGACGCCGTACAGCCTCCACTCCGGCCCCCGTACGACGGGCCTTTCAAGGTGCTGCGACGGGCAGACAAGCACATTACAAACGACAGAGGTGGTCGTCACGACGTGGTTTCTCTAGACCGCGTAAAATCAGCACACGTGGACTCCGACAGCGAAGCACCCGCACCACCTCGAGCTCCATCTTCGCAGGCACCCCGGCAGACCACGTAGCGCAGCCCCAACAAGTCCTCAAACGGTTAACGCGGAGTGGACGGTGTACGAGACCCCCGGTGCGCATGAACTTATGAACCGCAGTGGGTCGTCCGAGTGCGGCCGTTGTGCGCGCACTCACTAGGGGGGGAGTACTGTGGCGACGCAAAGCGGTGCTTCTGTGTGCGGTGCAGAGAGCGCATGCGCCCGCACAAGAAAGTTATCTTCGAGAGGAAGGGTGATAATAAAAGTCAGTTGTTGTTTGGGACGCGAGTTGTTCACTTGCGCAGCTCTGCCGAGCGACGCGTCTCAACGCATCTCTTTCGGAGAGGCCTGCTACACGAGCAGTTGCTTTTTTTCAACCTTGGGCTTAATGGACAAATTTTTCAACTTGAAGTAAATCTTATGTGGTTCGCCGAAAAAGCTCACTGTTTGCATGCACGGCACAACTATTTTTACTGTTTCGCCAGTGAAATCCTTTAGGCCGATGAGAATGAGGCCAGCGCCCTTTCACTTTGGACGAAGCAACACAATCCGAAGTCACAATAAAGAAACCTCAGGACAGCGCCAAGCGAAAGTGCCATGCTGACCCTGTCTAGTGTAACCATTTTGTTTTTTCAACCAGTCCAGCACGGAGCATTTTATAGAGTTGCAAATAGCAAACACTATTCGACAGATATTCCAAACTTTGAATATTCGCACACCTTCAGAGGACTGAACTGCAGTAGTTTTCCAAACTTACAGTACACCACCAGTACAAAGAAGAGGTACCAGAATAATAAAATTGTGACAAAGGGGCATGTAGGGAAGGGTGTTTCCGCTCTGCTAGCATGAAACATCGTGAGGGGTGGAGCATGCAGTGTGCACTGGGGTCTCCTATTGTAAAATATTTACTTTTTATTTCTTTACCTGCTACCAGTTCTCCAGCGCACCATCACTTTACACATGTTTCAAAAAAGCGGTACTTCGATTGGATTGCTCTACCATTTAAATGCATGTTCGTGGTTTTAGATAAGAAACTTGAGAGCCTTGCTTGATTCTCTCGTGAATTCAGACACTGCTGCTAAGCCAGACAATGTTTTAAACAGTAATGGTAAACCTCATGATATGCATAGTGTAGACCGGTGGTGAGCAGGGAGATTTATCCAATTTTCATTCCACACACCTGTTCATGACGGTCTGTAACGACATGTCAAGCCGGGACCCTAAGGTGCTTTGCCTCTAAAAACATTTTTTCAACACCACGATCTTCAGATGTGCACATACAGTGCATGAACATTGCTGTGAACTTATTTAACAATAAAGTGAGCTTGGTGAAAATACAGGAGCTGTGTAGCTGGCCCCATTTGCAGAGCATACCATTGGGGTGGACACGTTAATTAATCATTAGGTGCTATAATTCCTCAGCTATCCCGCAAAAGAGCTTCCACAAGGTTCAGCTGATTGACAGTTTCCTGGTGAGGCGGCTTACCTCTTTGTTGTCCGAGTCATACTTTACATGGAAGGTGGGGTCCTCACGACTGAATCGGCTCACGGCCTTCGAAAAATTGTCGGAGTCCTTGTTGTCCTTTGGACGGATGGACATGGAGATCACAGGCTCTGGCACATGGATCGACTCCTGCATTGAAAAATAACTCTATTAGGCCATTTTGTGTGCTGCCAATGACAAACAACTGAGGTTTTTAGCTTGTCTGTATGCTTTTCATGTTACAGTGCAAAATGTATACATGCCTTCACAAATCACAAACTACCTGCGAGACACGTTTTAGGTTTTGGCCATATTTCACACAGGCTTCTTGCGATACAGTGAAATCTCGGTAGAATGAACACCACTTTAGCGAACTTTTCAGATTAGCAAACCTTTAAGAAATCCCGTGCCGACTGCTAATCGTTTCAATGTAAAATTATTTCACTACTATGTGCTTCAGAATACCTATTTTTTCAGAATAACGAGTGCTAATTTAGTTCCACGTAATATTAACGTCTCAGTACTACGAACTCATGTTATGAAATCCGTTGCGAACACCAGAGCAATACCCAAGCTGACGACACAGCGAACGAACGCCTTGCTTCTCAGAAAACGTGCGACGGTGTGGAGGGGAGGGGAAAAAAAATAAAAGGACGACTTTCTTTTCTTTTTTTCTTATTGAAACGCCGACGCTGCAGGTTTACAAGCACAGGCACGAGGGCATCATGAGAGGGCAAGGTCAGAAAGGCAGAGGGCTGAGTGGGTGTTGCGGAGCAGGAAGCATTGGAGCGGAAAACCTGAGACAGCAAGGCAGCAGAAAACGAAACGCGAGGAATTCTCTTTTTTAGCTTTTTCTTTGGAAGATGCAATGACAGCCGCAACGCTTCATGTTTTTCTTATCTTTGTCACTTTTACATGTGATCTAAGAGGCCAAAGAAGTATAGGTGTTCTCTGAGGAGGCCTTGTCAGTCGTGTTGTTCTTTTCGGTGATTACTTATCGCGTCCGCAAAGCAAGTCGGCCTTTGCACTGCAGTGCTACTACAATTAGTTTCCTTCTGCTTGTAACGATGAAGCGGAAGCAGTTTTTGCTAAGGAGAAAGTGAAGAATGCAGTTGAGCTGAAAGCTGTCGCCCTGCAAAGTTTGTGCTGCAGGCATCAAAAAAAAAAAAAAAAAAAATCACAGACTTTTTAAAGAAAACGTGCATTTTTCGGTGTTCACTTGCACATTTGTTTTTTATTGTAAAAAAACGAGTTCAAGGAACAATCATTGTAAAGGTAAGTCATTTTGGTCGGTGGAAAATAAATATTTATGGTTAATTTCTGGGCTTTCACCATAAGGACCTTTTAAAGTAACGAACAACTTGCCGCGGTCCCCTGAAGTTTGTTATACTGAGATTTTACTGTACCTGCTATGTGGAGACTCCAGTCACTGAGCAGAAGCGCGAGTGCCTATTATTACCAAGTTGTCTGACACAGATCACCGAGACTGCGAGGCCAAATCTGGTGCTATCTGACAGGTTCCAGACAAACCAAACCCAAACAATAAGAACCTGTTAATGCCAAAACAAGGTGCATTATACTTCAGGTGTAAATGCCTTGCAGTAAGGTAATTACAGACGAGTTGCCTTTGTGATTACTTTGTCCCTCAAGAACACTAGGCAAAAACAAATGTGTCTATGACCGTGGTTGCATGAATCGTCACAAGATGTCAACACCATCATCTGGTAAACAAGTATTTCTACACTTCTTTGCATATACAGGGATACCATACCCGCTAAGTACCCCTAATTGATTTTGTTGCAGCAGGGATTGAATCAAATTTAAACTAAAGAGAATAGTTTAAATGTAGTTATCATCTCATTTAGTGGTTTGCAAAACCGTAGAGGTTGCCAAAGCTGCGGCTAGAGCCACAGTCAAAGCCACAGCCCAATCCGCAGTGAATCAAACGGTCGCAGCAAACCGAGTCAACGGTGACCGAGTCAATGACAGTGCTGGTTCCCCACGCCTTTCTCGTAAAGCACTAGGGCATCTGTGATGCTGCAATCTTTCCTGGACATCATATTTATGCTTCTGAATAAGCTAGACACTCACACAACCTAAACTGCCCTGAAACTGCTGGAGGTTCTCAACCCAGTGTTTTCAGCACTTCTATAGTTGCCACAGATCGTCCTCGACCCTTTGAAAGGCCGCCATTGGCCAGTCACGTGTTTGAACACTGAAGTCATGTTGGTCAGAGAAGCTCCGGCCTCAGCGACTGACTGACTGTACATGCGGTACTCTCTTTTTAACCCCCCTTCCCTTATCCCTAGTGCAGGGTTCCAAACTGGACGCTTGTCTGGTTAACCTCCCTTCCTTTTCTCCTCCTGCTTTCTCTCTCTTTCGTGAAGGTCGATGTATGCGTACGTACATAAATGTTTATTTATGGGAAGCTGAAACATTGCTAAAATATTTGTTTAGGTAACACGGTAAGTGTGATATGCTATTTCAGTGAAACCGTAACACAGTACAAACTAAAAACATCAATTCATAATGGCACATTATATAAAATGTAAACATTAATGATGTTTAAGCTGCCTATTTGTTTAATTTTACTAATCATATTATTTCATTTCATTTTCATACCTGCCAAGCTAGCAGGATGAAAATTCGGGAGACTGCAAGGGTGGGGGCAGTTTTTTTTTTTTGCATATCTGATATTAATGAGACAGACATTTGCCACACACTGTCATTGCTTCTGTATACTGCAACTACCAAAGCACGCTAATTCAGGGCCTCCATCTATGTGTTTTTGGCATCTGCAGCCTTTAGCACACTCAGGATATCTCTCTGGGAGGGGGAAGTTGAAACTTCAAGTAAAATTGAAGTACCAGATACCAAATAATAATTATAATCATTATATTAGTACCTACAATAACAACAACAATAGTAAGATCTAATGTGAAGGTTATGACAACAATCTCTAAGCGTTTTTACAGCAAGACATTGAAAAAACTTGAGAGGACCAAGAAACCGTTCAATGAAGTAGTGCACGTAGAAAATGAACGGCGAATCGAATAAACGAAGGCGTAACATAGTTCGCAACAAGGATGTCAGGCAAATATTTATTTTTTTCTAGTTTTCCAGCTTCATTTAGTGATTAAGGTGCTGACGTGTTGGCCGGCTGGCGGTTGAACAAATGGCTGTTTAAAAATGATATTATTTATACAGTGGAGCAAGCAAAAGAAATGCAAGAAAGGCACACGACAACACCTGGTACGTAGTGCCTTTCTTGCGTTCCATATTGTGTACTTTGTCCAAGGATTTCGTCTCTGCGCCGAAGTGCGCCAAACGAGATATGCTGCGTCAACCTGATAAAATCGACGTGAATTGAGCCAAACAACGCCAAACCGTCTATCTCAGGGGTACGCAACCTGCAGCTCGCGGGCCGCATGCGGCTCGCAGGGCAGTTTTATGCAACTCTCGGAACGGCGTCAGAAATCCTGAAATCGCTAGACACTGTAATTGCGGCAGTATTTAAATAACATTATTAATGTTTTCATTACTGGAAACTGCGGTCGAGTCTAATGAGAGAAGTCTTTAAATTCCTGCAGATAGGCCGTTGCCGCTTTCAAAAATTGGCCGCCAGCACTTCCGGGGAGCAATGAAATTCAACCTTATTCTGCGGCGGGATCGCAACCAAAGCTTCGATGAGCACAACCATAGCAGAAGGCTAGAGATATGTCACTGTTCACGACGGTGATTGCAGTGCTGTTAGTTCTTCATTTGTTTACTCACATACGACAACGCCATGTATATATACTCTAAACATTAACGAAAACCCGGTTGCAGCAAAGAATACCATATTTACTCGTGTAATGAACGCACTTTTTTTCTAGAAAAATTGCAGCAAAGTAGGGGGAGTGCTCATTATGCAGGGCAGATTTTATGAAAACTTTGTGGGCATTAGCAAGAAATGCTCTAATGCAAAAAGAAAAAAAAGTTAGGTTGCTAAGGCTTTTTACATACATGTAGACTGTTTGGAAACAACTTCTTTGTTGCACTTTACTCATCTTTGCTGATTGATGATGCTATCTTCTGCAAGCTGTCGCCGCGCCGCCCGCACATGCCATAAAAGCATTTTGCGGCTATCTTTTCTAGCAACCGTTTAACCACAACAGTGGTATCTGCTGTGATCTTAAGGGGCACCCAGAAGCGTGCGCTACGACGCACTTTCTCAACATCGCGGCAACCTCGCATAACGCCGCCGTTGTCATTGTAGCAAGTAGTGAAAATTGCAGCAAGCTACCCCCAAAACATCAAAACAAACCACCGATAACAAGATTAACGACAAAATACAGCTGCCACCTTACTTCCACATGAGAAGTGTCTGTACGCACGGCGAACAAGCAAGGCGAGTATCAGGGGTGCTACATGTTGTGGAAATCGTCACGATCATTTCTGTGAGACAAGCGATTTTTTCTGGTTTTCCAGAAGCCTGAGACACGATAGCGACAAATGACCCTTCGCTACAGCAAATGCTGTCATCATCGCTTGAAAATAGCATGCACATCGTTGGGGCTCAAAGTTTTGTATTAGCAGGAAGTGATTGTCCGTCTGCACGGGCAGATTCGTGACCTTCGCTTGCTCTCGCTCGCTGTGTGCTGCGATGTCTTTACACTGGCATTCGTAAACCCCGCTGTGGTGCACAGATAAAGAAGACGGGGGATGTACTGCGCACAGATACAAAGAAAAACAATAAGGCACGCGACAGCTGGCAAAGGGGAGGGTGCAAGCCGAGGCAGCCAAGGGGGGTCGGCATAATAATTAAGAAACGCAAGAGATTCAAAGGGTAAGTAGGCATCAGATGTCGGTTAGTGGGACTGCAGGGGATGAATGTAAGGGGTGCATTTATTATGCGGGGAAAAAATCTAAATTTTGACAACTGAAGCTAGGGATGCATTTATTACACGAGTGCCCTCATTACGCGAGTAAATACGGTATTACACGTAGGAACAAAACCAACATGCAACAAGCATGGCATATCGTTTATTTTGTAAAATAAAAGGACGAGAGACCGCAAAAGGCCTCAAGTACTGGCTTGATAACCAGAGTTTCGCGCTCCAAGGACATCACGCTGCCGTTGAAGTTAGAATTCTATACAACGACGATAT